ATGAATTCTGTCAGCCTATGTTGTGATCCAACAATCAAGTTTGCTAAAATCATATTTTTATTTGGGTGATTCATGACACAGCTAGAACATAATTGCATCATATTTGTAGAGACAAACATTTATTTTGGTCTCTATCCTCACTTTTACAAGGTAACACTATTTTGGTTCTTTTTTTTTCTTTTTCTTTTTGGAGGGATAAGCAATCATAAGATCAGCAAGACCCCTCTCTTGCTCCGATTGTCATTCCCATTTGGTCTTTATATTGATAAATGTTCTTCAATCGCTCTCTCTCTCTCTCTCTCTCTCACACACACACACACACACACTCAGAAAAACAAGGTTCTCTCTGCCTGCAGGTATAGGGCTGTGATTTAGTTGTGTTCACGGATTGATTCCAGCACATTTGGCTATACAAACTTAGAAACGCACAGACGCTCCCTGAATGGATGGGATCTTTGGTACAGTTATATCAGCTACACGACACATCACACACAGTTGAGGTAGATGAAATTAGAGCTGTCGGGTAGAACAAAAATGGCCAAACGGGTTCCCCTCAGTGGGACGGCGAAATGGAAATAGGCTATCACTTCAGATTTACACACTGTAGTACCTCTTTCAAATATATCTGAAGAGGATAAACACTACGAGAATATGGCGTGATTTATGTTCCTCTCAGTAAGCGGTAGGACAAAATGTCCACTAGGAGACGCCAAATACTAAATTACGTTTGACGCGTCTGCCATGATCTGCTAAACGTGATCTTCGGGACACTACAAGTCGTCGAGTGATCTCTAACCATCTACCGCGGTAAGTTTGCAAATTATTATAACCTAAATCATTACATCTCTACAAAAAAAGAGAGGACCGGCTAACCCCCAGTGCTGCAACAGGGTGACCTGGAGAGTTGAGACGCACACACGCTGACACCCTTTGCCCCTCGCGCAGCACGCTTACAATTGTCGCTCATTAAACTTTAATTCACATCCCCAAACTACCATTCACCACCCCTCCCCTTCCTTACCGTGATTCGGTAATGCTGCTAGCCTCTGATCTGCTACCCCTCCCTGTGAACGCCCTAAGCCCATGGGTCCGACCCAGTGCCGAGCGCCGGCCCCAGCCGCTGAGAGGACAGATAAAAAGGGCCTCTTTGAAGTCGGCAAAAGTCGATGGCCTCTTTCATGGGCCCTCTTTCAAGTGTGTGCTGTGAAGGGGCCTCACTACATGCCCTGCAAAGGTTAAACACAGGGGAACGAGAAAGAGCATTGAAAAAGGGACGATCTCTCCCTCGACGGCCCACCCCGAGAGACCATGGCACAGCACGTACAATCATCGTACAGTAAATGAGGACTGCAGTGAGGAGATCACAGTTCAACAGCCCAAATATAGAATCATCTCGACTTCATAGCCACTTGTGTGCTGTTTTACGATCACGCTGAGTCTCGTTTGTTCGGTCAGGCTGTGGCCTAAAGGGTCTAGACATGCAGCACATGTGAACGATGAACATGGATGGGTACGCTAGCGTGGCTATCGAAATATCTAACACAGCGTTCAGGAGATGAGAAACGTCGGACATTCAGGAAGGACAAATATTCATCTTTGGTATTGGAACTCCTATCAGAGATAGGGTCATTTTTCCACACACAAACAACACTCAGTGAAATAAATACTGATGGTAACTAGCAAATAAATAAAATAAATAGCTAGAAGATTGGAAATAAATACATAAATAATTATAAATACACAAAGTGGTTGTTCATGTTCAATTCAAGCTTTTTGTAGCCTAAGTATTTTTCATCAGGGTCTTCAAGACTTTGAGCTTTTTCCAGTATGAACAGCCATCGGCCAGATTGTGTGCTTGAAATTTTTACAAAAAAAAAAAAA